CAATGACGACTCTCTTATCATTGATGTTTCTCTCTCTCTCTCTCTCTCTCTCTCTCTCTCCCCCTTCCTCTCTCTGAAATCAATAAAGATATATTTTAAAAAAAGATAATAAATTGGTGGTGTTTTAAGCCACTTTATGTGTGGTAATTTGTTACAGCAGCAATGGGAAACTAATACACAGGTTTGCTGCCCTGGATATAGACAATCAATACTGAATTTTATGTAGACTGCTCATTTTGGAACTGATATAGATTTCTTCACAATTTAATGCTTTAGAGCAAATGGATAAAAGGTCTTTGGAAAGCTCCATTGCTTAGGGAAAAGAGAATGGGTTTTGAAGCATAAAGGCCCCATTTCATTTACTGGCTGTGTGACCCAGGTAAATCACAACCTCTCTGAGTCTTCCCTCACATGGTTGCTTTGGGGATTAAAAGAGATAATGCAAAAGCAGTAGAAGGGGTTCTCCCACAGGAAGTGAGAATTCATGTTAACCTCTCAGTGCTTAGGTTCCTCATCAGTAAAATGGGGATAATTGTAGTAATTATCACATTCAATATAATGAGGATTAAATTAATTTAATGTGTCAAGTGTCTAGAACTGTGCTTGATACATAGTGAATGCTGCTCTTACTAAAGAGAGAATGAAAATGAGGCAGGTGCTCAACAAATGAATAGGCAGACTTACTGTGTACCTTTTCAGCACCATCCCCTATGCTTTACACACCTGCACCGGGTGTTATGGGGTCTCACTGAAACTTGGTCTCTGCTTCACTGACCCGGGGGACTAACTCAGAAGTCACAGGAAAGCACCTGTCCAGGTAAGGTGGTACATGACTGTTAAATGAACAGCACTGATCATGAACAGCCTGTGATTCATGTGGGAGGATGGTAGAGGAGTCGAGGCAGAGGAGGCAGGACTCCTGCCCGACTGTGACAGGCAGAAGGAAGGGAAACTGTGTGTGGGCAGGGAGAAGTGTGGGCAGAAAGCAATGCACCTGGAGGGATGGGGGAAGAGAGACTGCAGATGGGTCGGGGCAGACTGCAGCGGAATGAAGGCCTTACCAAGCCACTGGGCTTTATTACATGACAACAGAGAATCACTGAAACAAACCCTAGCAGAAGACTGTCATGATCAAGGTATGTTAGGCTGACTTTTGGCTTATACAGAGTGGTTCTCAATCGTGCAACACACCAGTGTGATGTGGTCCCTCGTGAGGTGTATATGATACATTAATATATAGCCAACATCAAAGTTGACGACGACGATGGTGTGTGTGTGTATTTAAAAAATTAGAGAAGAACCAGGAGACTAATGCACTAGATATGTGTTTCAAAAGTCAATGAAACAAAAGCCAGCAAGATATTAGAGCTAAATTGATTAAAATAAATATTAAATGAATCCTTCAACAAGACCAGAGATAAAAACCAAGGCACACAGTGTTGACTAAGAGGCAGAACTGAAATAAACAAGGCCCCCTAAACACCAAATCTAGAATTAGATTTCTGCTTCATATCTGCCTAATTGTTTCTAAACTACAATTTTAACATAAACACTTGGACTCCATGCGAGGCCCCTGCAGACCTGCAGAATGTGTAAATATTGGCTATTCGCCATTTGCCAGGCAAATGCTCTACAAGGTACAAAGAAGGTTGCATTCTTAGCAGGGAAATGATGATTAACCTAAATTATACTTCCCTCCCACCCTAAAAGAAAAGCATATTGCATGAGGTCAGTGTGGCCCGGCGTTCAAACAGCAAGGAGGGGGAGTTTCTCCCTTCAAATGGGCCAAAGTCCACTGTCCATGGGGTTATCTGTCTCCTTGAAATGAAGCATCTGATCCTCCATCTCCTTTCCTTTCACATGAATAAAGAGAGTAAACTGGATGTTGAAGGATTAGAGGTGTCTCAGCACTCTCCTCTGCTAGATCCAAACAGCTAAATGGAAGAGACCTTGTGAGCGCACAGCAGGTTTCCTTGTCCCAGCAGGATTGCCAAAAACCCAGGCTCACCAGACACGTGGATGATCAACAGCTGTGTCCTAAGTTCTCTCCTAAGACAACAGCCAGTTAGCCTGGAGACAGTTACTCTCTTATACCATGTAACATAAACAATGACTTCCTTTCTTTGAATAAGTGGTCAGTAATAGCTGGCTTTGCCTAATGAAACTTAACCAAAGAAGTAGGGCTCTAGGAAATAATGTAAAAAAAAACCAGTCTATTGTTTCCTCTAGGTTCAGAGAGATTCCTAGAAGTGACCAAGGATCCTTAAAACAGACCCTCTGCACCAAATGCTTAACAGGGCTTTTTTTTCTTGGAGTATAGAACCACTGGTGGCTTTCACTTTCTGTGTTCTTTATTTCTTGTTACGTTTTAATATTTTCCACAATTATTATATGTTGAGTATGAAAGAAGATATTTTTAAAGGTCCTAATAAAGTGTAGTCAGTGGCTCACTGGATAAACTTTAAAGAAAGAGCTGTTTACTATTAGTTTCCTGATCTGAAAAATGTACTTATACAAGCATACCTCGGAGATATTATGGATTCTGTTCCAGACCTCCGCAATAAAGCAAGTTTAATCTTTTTGCTGATGGAGGGTCTTGCTTTTCATTTGTAAAACAAAACAAAACAAAACAAAACAAAACAAAACAAAACAAAACAAAACCAAACCCCACAGTATCTGTGAAGCACAATAAGACAAGGTATACCGATACCTGACATCCCCAAGGCTTTTCCCTAATGGAAGGAAATAGAAAGTTTTCAAAATAAATTCATGTCTTAATAGGCCCAAGGTAGATGGAAAATGGAAGAATAATCAACTCTTTGGAAATCTACTCTTTTTAATAGGGAGACTGGGCATGGTGGTGGTGGTGGTAGCAAAAAGCCAACAAGGTCCTGTATGTGGAAGTGCTCTAAAAACGTAAAAAACACCGTAGGCCACTGCCGTCACTCAGCAGCACCTGTGGCTACTGAAAAGCGGTGGGTTTTCAGTCACTTTTACTGCTAGGTCAATATGACCTATAACCACATAGCAAACAGAACAGTAAGATAGAAAGTTAGAATTTTCAGAGCTTGTGGGGCAGTATTCTAGATCTATTTATTCCTTTTGTCATTCACTAAAATGTTCTATCCAGAACGTACTATGTGCTTAATGGCAAAACAAGCTAATAATACAGGGACTTAATAATTTCAACAGTGGAGGTTGACTTGGGCTGCTTTCTTGTCTACGGGTTGGCATGGGTTAGTGGTGCCGTTCAAAGTCCTGGATTCACTATAGTTAAAGGTAAAAGTATGAATACACTAGAAATCAGGAGACCTGGGCTCTGGACCAGGCTTTATGATCTCAGGAAAGGTCATATCTAGGCCACATTTCCATCATCTGTAACACAAAGGGGCTCACACATAATCCCTGAGGGCCCTTTCAGCCACAGTGGTCTCCAACAGGAGTATAGTGGAAAGGATCACATAAAACTGGGTTGATGGCCAACCCTAAATTTGTTAGCTGGGTGAGCCTTGGTTTCCTCAAACCCCAAAATGAAGACAAGAACATCCACTTTTCATTGGATAGTTGTGAGGATTCAATTACGTGTGTAATAATATATATCTCTTAACACAATACTGTTACATAGGCGTTCAAAATATATAACATCTTTTTGACTTCCACAAACCATCACACATAGCACGGAATTTATGAACTTAGCAATAGACATTTAAGCTCTAAAAGAAAATATATAGTCAACGTCTGTTTCCAGATGCTTTGTATTTTAGTGTTTTGTCCACTCATTACTGTTTAATTCTTTGAGTGCTTTGCTAAGTCACAGCCCCAAGATGGGCTGGGAGAAGGGGGGGCTATGGCACCTGACTGTGAAAAGCAGGGAGGCCGTGTGGAAGTGGAAGCACTAAGGCAAGGGTATGTACACTGCTCTCCTCTCTCCTTCTCTGTTGGGCAACCATATACTGTGTCATTCTAACTGGGACACTTTTGAGAGTGAAAAGCTGTGTCAGGAAAACCAGGATGTACGTCCCCCTCACCTTTCGGGCTTATTTTTTGTGACCTTTGATGTCACTTAGAGGTCCTGGGACTGACTGGACCTATCTGATGTCCTAAAGGGGAGGAAATTGCAAAATAAGATTCCATCCAAATGCTCTTTTAAAGACAGGCAAAAGATTATTTAACTAAAGTTTGATAAATATAAGTTTAGATAAGATACTATGATAAAGTAGTTTTGTTTGTATTATTATAATGTATGCTTTAGCATGGGGTCAACAAAGTCATTCTGTAAAAGGACAGAGTACATATTTTAGGTTTGGTGGGCCATGTGGTCTCTGTCACAACCACACAGTTATGTTCTTGCAGGGCAAAAGCAGCCATAGACAATATATATGAAAGAATGGGTGTTGCTGTGTTCCAATAAAACTTTAGTTAAATAACTGGCTGTGAGCTGGATTTGGCTTTGGGCTGCAGTTACTAACCCCTGCTTTAAAACAACAGTTCCCAGACTTTTGGAATTTGTAGGACCAGGAAAACAAAAAATAGTCTGGAATTGACTCAGGATTTTTAACATTTTATTTTAGTAAGTAATTATGTTTAAAAAAGTGAAAAATCATTGCCTGGTATCTTTATCTCTTAGAATTTTAATTAGCAAAAAACTAGAAAGGGCACAGATTCAGAACAAATTTAGCTTAATAGAAAACCTACCACATTGTTGTTATTTCTAAAATTTTTCATAAGCCTGGGGAAAACTTTGTCACGAATATGCTCAGGTTACTAGATGGCCCATTTCAGCTGCTTTTGGAGGTTACATGGTGTGGCACAACAGAAAGAATGTGGTATGTAATTAAAAGATCTGGACTTGAATAAGGCTGGAGGAGTGCTAAGCAGGGAAATAATGAGCTGAACTTGAACATTCCTTTAAAGGGACAAAACTAATGGAAGAGAGTGTCCCCTGTCCTGAATCACTGACACAAACACAAACTCCAATACTGAGTGACCTCAGGACTCACCGGCTGCCACTGCGCAGGGTACCAGGCTGGGGGACAGTCGAAGCGGTTACAAGCTTGCACTGTGCTGGGCTTGTGCTGGCGACACAGATCATCAGCCAGAATGACTGTTTCGTTCATCTCTCTGGAACGTATCTGGGAGCAGAAGACGTCTCTGGTCTGCAGGCCAACCCCACAGGTGAGGCTGCATGGACTCCACTTGCCAATTTCCCACCTGCGAAGAAACCAGAGGACACCCTGAGCGCTTGTGCAGAGAACATTTTCCATGATATGAAATGTTAACGGAGTAAAAACACCTAGCTGGGAATGTGGGAATTCCAGCACAAGACTAGCTAGGAATTCTATCCCAAGCCTAAAAGCCATCCTTTCCCTTTATGCTCTAGCATTTATTTCAAATAAAGCAAAGAAGGTGATAAAATGGAACATCTAATTTTTACCCACAAAATCATCAAGGATGATCACAACCATGTTTATTATTATTATTATTTATTATTATTATTATTAGAAAGGAAAGGGGGGAGAGAGAGAGAAACATCAATGTGAGAGAGAAACATCCATTGTTACCTCCTGTATGCACCCTCACTGGGGATAGAGCCTGCAGTCCAGGCATGTGCCCTGACCGGGAACTGAACCCACAAGCTTTTAGTGTATGGGACAGCGCTCCAACCAACTGAGCCACACCAGCCAGGGCACAATCATGTTTATTTTGATGGAATGTAGACTTCATCAAAATTAGGAGGGTGTGCTAATTATAAGACACAGGTGGACCACGTAAAGGCTTTGGGCACCACATGTTGAACAGTGGGTTTAGAAGAAGCCTTTCTGCTCATCTCTCCAGCCCCCATCCTTAGCAAGACTGAAAAAAATTGTGCTTGTTTTTTCTTGGCTTCAAAGTGAAAGGTTGTTGGCTCTAGCTTCCTTCAAACTTCCATCGTGGCATAGAAATGTCTCTGTCCTGTGTATAAATCTCATCACTGCCGGGGACTGTAGTATGTAACGAAAGTGAAGGTTGCTAAATAGATCAGTCTTCTTGAGGGAAAATAAGTGGAGGGAACTGCTCACTATCTGGAAGTGGAAGTCAAATAACCACAGATGAGCTGAGTGCATAAACTGGCCACTCCAAATGGTCGGGTCTCGAGAAGTATTTGTAATGCGCCAAGGCCCTATAAAAATATTCCCACTGCATTTCCCTGCTGTTGCAGGCTCCAAAATGGAAATGATAAGAACAAAGCTCAGTTGCTTGGGCTCTGAGTCAGAAGTGCTCTTTAATGATCAGCTTTAGCAAGTTCTGTTTACAGTGTGAGACAGAAAGATTCTCCAAATAGGGCTCAGCCAAGAAAAGCCTCGCAAGTAGATCCTTCAGTAGCTAGGCCCCCTACCTTCTGTAGCCAGCCCTGAAAATTGGTTTAAATTCTTTGGCCTTAATATTTTTTGTCAGACTGTAAAATTGAGTGTATACTCAATCTCTTCCTGCTACCCTGATATGTAACTACCTTTCCAATCCCCATTTCCACTCCCTCCTCCCATCTACCCTATGTTTAAGCTGTATCTGTAGTTAGCTACTTTCTCAGTCTCAGTTTGTACCCACCTCTGGTTTTCTAGCTCTGTCCTTACTCAAGTTGTTACTCCTAATTTGGAATACGTTTTGTCTTTTCCTTGCCCCTCAAAATTTATTCCATTTCTATATATCCAAATTCGATTCACATTTAAAGGGCTATTCCTGTGGCACTGATCATTTTTTAAAAATTGTATTACAGTTATTCTACCTGTTAAGAGCCCTTTGGGAGTATGCACCTCTTAAAGGCCAGGTCTATGTCTGAGTCCACTTTGGATCTCTCACAGGGTTCATCATAGCACCTCCTAGTTAATGTATATGGTCTATTATTTCCTGAGAAATTAGCTAGTGGAAGGGATCTACCATCATAGAGGCACTTTATACACATTACATCATTAATTGCCTCCATAACAACATGAGGCAGGCTCTACTGATTTTCCTCATTTTACAGTCGGGCAAGAGGCTGACACCCAAATACCCATAATTAGTAAGTAGTGAATCCAGGATTCAAACTTGGTTGTGTGGCTCCAAAGCCACTGTGCTTCCTATGGTACCATGCTGTCTCCAGAAAATACCCTGGAAACTGTCCTATCAACATTCACAAAATTTTAAATCAATAGGAGAAGCTGGGTTGAATATATTTCTTTTAGATTCTGTATGAGTTTCTATAAACTTATTTTTAAATCCCTAGCTTAGGTTAATCCCAAGCTTTAAAATGTTGTGGGGTTATTGGTTTTAAAATATATCCACACATTCATGTCACTCCTCCCTTCTAAAGATAGAGTTTTGAGTGAGGGCTGAACTTAGCCGGCTCACTTGTAATGGAAAGGACAAGGCAGAGTGATGCTCTCTGACTTCCAAGGCTAAATCATAAGAGGAGGATAGTTTTCACTTGGCTCTCTCACTTTGCTCATATTGGGGGAAGTCACTTTGCTCACCTGACATCCATCATGTCATAAGGACACTCAGTCTTAAGCAAACATGCAAAGAGCTGAGGCTGATCGCCCACAGTCAGCACCAAGTTTCCAGTCACGTGAGTGGACTACCCTGCAGGCAGATCTGCTGGACCCAGTGTGGCCTTCAGGTAACTGCAACCCCATGAAGCTGAGCCACAGCTGCTTTCCAAGTTGCTCCCAAATTCCTCACTCATTCAACTGTGACAGGTAATCAATATTTCTTTTTGTTGTGAGCTACTAGGTTTGGAGCAGGTTTGTTATGCAAAAATAGTAACTAATATTAGTATATACACTCTCCTCCCAAAATGTGTATATGCTCCTCCAAAGACATGTACAAAAATATTCAAAGCAGCACTATTCATACCCCGTCAGGGAAAAATGCAAATGCCCATCAACAACTGAATGGATAAAAAATGATGATATATCTATACAACACTATAAAACAATGAGAATAAACTATAACAAAAAGCAACCTGGATGAATCTCACAAACATGAAATTGAGTAAAGCAAGCCACACAGGCAAAAATTCACACTGTGATTTCATTTATATAAAGTTCAAAAACCCAAACTCAACGATGGTGTTAGAAGCCAGGATGGTGGTTGCCCTCAGTAGGCAGTAACTAAAAGAGGGGTAACAAGGGGAAAGCTTCTGGGCTGAAATCTTGATGGGAGTGCTGGAACTGAATTCACTTTGTGAAAAACCACCAAGCCATACATTGTAGGATTTGTGCACATTTCTCTATGATTGTTACACTTCAGAAGAGGGTGGTTTCCTCCCACTTTTAAGATGGAAAACAAAAATCCAACAACCATGCCCAACGCTATGACCACTCTATACATGTCTCATAAAGGAGACATGTACATAGTAAATGCTGTCCCAAGGTTAAAGCTTGTCATACTAGAGGCTCTACACCTCTGTTGCCCCTACCTCTGAAAAATTCAGAAACTGAGACCTTAAAGCAGAGGCATGTCAGCCATGAGGCCACTTCAACACTGTTCAGAGAAACTTGCAAGACAGACACACCTGCCTACACATGATAAAGGTACATTATATCCTCAAGGGAAGAGGTCAGCAGAAGCTATCTGTTTATGAAGCACTTTGCTGATTCTGGGTTGAAATATTTTTAAAAATTTTATTTTTAATTACAGTTTGCATTCAATATTATTTTGTATTAGTTTCAGGTGTAAACTATAGGGGTTAGAGAATCATGTACTTTACCAAGTGTCCCCCCAATATTTCCAGTAGCCATCTGGCACCACACATAGTTTGGGTTGATAGTATTTGAATTAACAGGCAAAAAAGGGAAAGCAGAGACTCTCCCCCTACTTTTCTCTGCACAGAGGCTGCAATTGTGAGCCTTGGGCTTCCCTGAAAACTGCCTTTGGCTGTTTCTGAGAAAAAGACTGCAGGCCGGG